CCGTTGGGTAGCATCGGCAATGGCTGTAATGGTGCGAACGCTGCTGTGTTACAGCTGCTCTGTACAGGTTTTCTATTGAATGCTGGGAAAAAATTTCTCCATGGAAAGTCTCTCAGTCTCTCTTTGTGTGGCCACTCATTCCTTGTGAGCCTAGGCCATTTTCTTCCTTGCCCAATCCTTCTGTAATTAAAGTGTCTAGATTAGCAGTGTTTTTTCAGTACTCTTTAAAAATAACAGTGCTTCCAGTATGTTGCAGATGGTCATAGACCTGTGTGTGATACAAAGGTGTAGGAAAATAACAGGAAGGGTCTTAAGGTGGATATTTTAAGGCTGAAATGCCCCAATGGAGCATTGGGGGGACTTTTAGGGGGCTGCAGCAAAGCAAAAGCTGCGCTTTGTTTAAATGCAGAGCAGCTTTCAGGCTCACTTTGCATGCAGCGACAAGCCGGCCTGAAGGAGCAAAGCTGTCAGAGCAGAGTCTAAAAGGCTGTTTCCTCCCTGTCTGGCAGCTCCTGAGCTGGGGGGCAGGAGCATGAGCTGGCAACATGAGCTCTCTCCTACCAATTTGTAAAACCTAGAGCTCCCTTGTCATGCAAGGGAGGCAAGTATCTCTGCAACCCTCCTAGCCCTGCTGTAAGCAACAACTGCCCTCCTGGTGTTTCGCAACACCAAGTTTGGAATAAAGGCTGGACCAACGTCCCTTGGCCAGGAGCTACATCTAAACTGAGCTTGCCATGCTCTCATGGGCTTTTCTCCCTGACTGTGCAAAGTGGCCTGCTGGCACCCCTGGGAGCTTGTTGCAAAAGGGAAGGGGCTCAGCTGCAACTTCAGGAGAACCCAGGTTGGGCTCTGTCTCTCCTGGCTAGCTCTAACTTTCCCTTAAAGCTCTCCAGCAGCCCCCAGGCAGTTCCACTCCTGCAGTGGTAAAAAGGGCTCTGGGTGCTGTCCCTGAGCATCAGGCAGTGCCTATGGGCAGGGCTGTGCTGGCCCAGGACGGTAGTTTGGGATTTTTCACCCCACATGTATGGCCAGCACTGAGCTCCAGAGCAGCCTGTGTCTCTGCCCATTGCAGCCATGATCCATCTGATCCCAGAGGCTTTGGGGTAGTGCCTCCAAGGCCACGAGCACCACTGCAGGCAGGGTTTGCCAGGGCTGCCAACATCAGCACCCGCACTTGCTTTTATTGTTGATGGCCAGGATGGGAAATGCAATTGAGACACCTTAATGAAAAGCTAACAAAGTTGGGTTTGGAGGAAGGGCTGTTCTTCTAGTAGCCTTGCTTCTCATTGTAGAATAATGTAAATGATTTGTCTGGGAATATTCCTACAGCAGTGTGATGACCATGGGCTGAGACCCTAGGCAAATGCAGAGTAAGAGGATCTCTGGGGGACCAAGCTGTTTATTTTGGATTGTACAAATAAAGAAATTATGATGATTTAATAGCAGCTGCTTCTCAGAGATATTTTGAGTGTCAGGCTCTGGTTGCATGTGTGTAACTAGCATGTTGTGGACAAACATTTTCTAGCCCTCCCTAATTCCTGAGTCTCACTGTGAATTGGTTTAAGTAGGAAAGCTGGTGATAGTATGTCAGTCTTGTTTGATGACCACACCACAAAATGCTGGAGAAAGTACAGCAGAGAGCTGGGGGACGCTACTGCTGCTCAGAGAAGGCACGTTGATGCGGCCGATGGGTTTCTCTTCCAAAGCTCCGGCCATTTCTTGTCCCTCTGAGATCTCCAAAAAAGTTCCACATTTCTTTACCTTCTGCCATCTGAGGGAAAAATATTGTTTGTATGTGACATGCTGGTTGAAAATGCCGGAAAGATGGACTGCTCAGATGCAAACCTCTAGGCCTTTTTTCCTCCTGTTTAACATAATATGGGACTTGATTTAAAACCACCAACCAACCAAATAGAAAAAAACAAACCCCAAACCAGCTTGTATTAGAATGTTTAAAAGGGAAGAACATGGCAAATAAAGTTCAAATGACTTATTAATTTGATTTCTTGCATGTCTTTTTTTCTGGATGAGACTTCCAGTGCCCAAATCCTTTTGAGATTGTAGACTTGGTCCAAAGTGTGATGGGACTCTCCTATGACCTAAATCAGTGACCCAAAGCATAATATTTTTTCTAGAACCATCTGTTTTCTCTTCTTGCCAAGGGGATTTCACAATGCCTGATTGCTCTGAATAATTGTACATGTGCAGGGATATGACTTGCCACAGGGAGAAATATTAACTGAACAAGGGCAGGTGGATGCTCTTGAGTTTTTTGAAGAAACTACTAGCCTTTAGAAGGAGAGGGTGAAGAACCATGCAACTGAGTAATATCTTATGCCCACAATGAATTTTTTTAAGTCTACATATTTAAAAAGGAAACAAAACTACACTTACGAGCTATCTGGGATAAACAGAGTAGGTACCAAGTCAGCCTGTGTTTTGACAGCCCCTTTATCAAATGTCTCTGTGATTTGGTTTGGAGCAGTGTGAAACACAGGAGTACAGATGTTGGGTGACTAATTCATGCTTCAGCTAAACTTCAATGACCATGAATGCACATCTGTTTCAACTTAGCTATCTGCTGAATGGCCTGCAACAAGGTACTCTTCTTTACAAACATCATGTTTTCATTTTTTTTACTTCACTTTTGTAAGCAGTGGCTACAGTTTGCATTTGGGAAAGTGGAAGGCACCAAGGGGCTGTGATCAGGGGTACAATGTTCAGGGCTCCTGAATCCAGCAGTAAGAACGTTTTTGTAGCATTAGCAGGATTTCCAACACAAACAACTTTCTTTTAAATCTATCTTCCTACAAGAGATTTGCTTTTTCTTGTTCATCTTATCTGTTCTTATCACCCAGCTCTCTGACTTGCTCATTTCCTCCACTATGTATCTTTTTCTTTTCTTAATTACAAAGCTGTGGAGCGGGGGTTGGAGGCAGACCAACAGTTCCTGGTGAGAAAATGTCGTTGATATGAAACTGCCTTGATAAATTCTCAGTATTATTCTTCCAGACCAATAATCCTACTACAATATCCATAAATAAAAGCAAACAGAGGAGAAGGCTTTGATCCATCATTACAGTGTCTCTTTTGGAGTAGACCCCATAACATGGGTGCAGGATGCTACCTATTGCTTCCTCCAGTCAGGTGTTCACTTGTGCACAGCCTTGTCTCTGCATAATATGCTCCTGCCCTAACAAGGAGGGGCAATTTGTCATGGGGGAGAAGGAGATGGGTGGTGGTTGACCAGGTGCTTTTCTTCAAGGAGGTGTTGGTGTGTTCCCGTTTTGGAGGGTAAATGCTTCTCCTCAGGAATGCCTGCCTGTACTACTGCAGTCAGCAATGCAGCATGTGTAGCCTGTTCTGTGGCTGGAGAGGCAGCCTGAGTCCCAGCTGTGCTGTGAAACAAGACCTCTTTCAGAAGGAAGAGGGAAGGTATTCTTAGCCATCCCATTTGGGTCCCAATCACTATGACTGGGCCCGGATGACAGCTGGGATGCTGTCACTGGGTGCCACCTTTAGTGTGAATGGGTTGGTCTGTGTCTCCCAGTGCATGCAGCTGTGAGCTGTCAGACCTGGTGTGTTTTTGCTGGAGACCAGGCAGATGGCAAATGGTAGAGTGAGACCTGCCAGGCGCTGCGAAGACTGTACTTGAGGAGGCATTGACTGTCTCTTGCTTGTGTCCCATCTCTGATATGGGCCTGGAAATGAGAACTTTCTCTTAGAAGTTAAAACCTTTCATGGCTGAACATTTTTTTTTCCTTTCAGGAGTGTGAGTTTTTTATGAGCAAAACCAATTCAGCTTTCTGTATTTCCCAGCAAAGTCAGGATATCGATGTACTCATTTTCCTCTCTTCATAGAAACATTTTAAGCACTGTGTGATTAAATTAACTTGGACAGGAGAAGCATAGTATAGCAAAGGCTCTCCTTGAGGAGAAAATATAGCTTTAATAACTAGGGATCTGGCTTTTATTGGCTAGTAAAATTGAGAATGTAACACTGAGCATGCTCAGGTTTTTGCACTAAGCATCTCTTTGTACTTAAAGGCATCTGTTCTGTCGGTTTATGCACTGTTAACTAACTGCAAACCTCTTTAACAGCTCCTCTACATTGCTGGAAAATCCTGAGGCAGGACAAGGGCAAGTACAGCTGTCATGCCTGATGATTGATGTTGTAAATGGAGTGAGAAAGGCCCTTGAAGGGGAAGCCGTCAAAGCTGACCTAGTGGGAAAAGAGCACAGGGACATGTTTCCTCTTGAAGCATGCCAAGAGAGCCAGGCTTCGATGCATATGGGGCTCTTTCCAGTTTTGGGAAGGTGCAAAGTGATGCGCTGTGGAAGGAATGGCTCCAAAATCATTAATTACAGACTGCCCTTCTGGTGCACCTTATGACCAAGTTACTGTTAAGAATAAGGTTTTGCCAGGGCTTGAGAGCTCACTTTGTGCAGATTTCTGATGTGGAGTAGATGTTTAGGAGGACTGTGAGCAAGAAAAGGCTGTGAAATACATGGATTACTGTGATTTAAAATGGCAAGTATAAAAATATTTTTTAAACATGATGAGGGGATAGTAGATTCTCTGTCCTCTCCTGCTCTTACCCTGAATTCCAGCGAGAGAATGCACTGTAATTTTGAAATGGGAAACACTTCTACCAGCTGTGAAGCAGAATGATGGACTTTAATTAGATGAGGAACAAGAAAATGCAGTTGAACAAATAGGCTTTCAGCAAAGAGAAAGAAACATCATAGTAGCTAAAGGGGGTAGGTGTTATCCCAATGGTAGCATCTGAATCCACCCTTGTTCAGGTGACTGAACTAGATAATTTCTACATGAAAAACATCAGTAATCATAACAAAATGGGCTCATTCAATGGGTCTTCTTGAGTAACAGGATAACTTGATTATATGTTTGGGAAAAATGAGAAATAAAGAGACTGGAGAGGAAAATCTGTTATCTCTGGTTGGCCTCACTTAATGCATCTTTCCTTTTGTCTCTGAAGGTTGAGGATGTCTGGGATCTGTTCAGAGGAAGTGGCCATGTCACGAGTAACTCGCCCACCCACCTTCCCAGTGAGCTTTCAGCTCCTTGTGCTGGTGTTGCTCTGCCATGCAGATGGCATACATGCAGAGAGCCCCAGTGAACTGCCAGGGAATGACACCGAGGAGTGTGCTGGCTCATACATCTGCAAAAAGGGTGTGATTTTACCAATATGGGAACCCCAAGACCCCTCATTTGGTGACAAAATCGCTCGGGCAACAGTGTATTTTGTAGCAATGGTGTACATGTTCCTGGGAGTGTCTATCATAGCTGACCGCTTCATGTCCTCCATCGAAGTCATTACATCCCAAGAGCGAGAAATAACCATCAAGAAGCCCAATGGTGAGACCAGCAAAACCACTGTGAGGATCTGGAATGAGACCGTTTCCAATCTCACACTGATGGCCTTGGGCTCGTCCGCCCCCGAGATCCTCCTGTCCGTCATCGAAGTGTGTGGCCATGGCTTCACAGCAGGGGACCTGGGCCCAAGCACGATTGTGGGAAGTGCTGCCTTTAACATGTTTGTCATCATTGCGATATGTGTGTACGTGGTTCCAGATGGAGAGATAAGGAAGATCAAGCACTTGCGAGTGTTTTTTGTTACGGCGGCCTGGAGCATCTTTGCCTATACTTGGCTTTACATTATTTTATCTGTGTCTTCACCTGGGATTGTGGAGGTTTGGGAAGGCTTGCTCACCTTCTTCTTCTTCCCCATCTGTGTGGTGTTTGCCTGGATAGCTGACAGGAGGCTTTTGTTTTACAAGTACGTCTACAAGAAATACCGAGCTGGCAAGCAGAGAGGTATGATCATAGAGCATGAGGGTGACCGGCCCTCATCCAAAGCTGATATTGAGATGGACGGAAAGGTTGCTAATTCTCATGTGGAGAACTTTTTGGATGGGACACTGGTGTTGGAAGTGGATGAGAAAGACCAGGATGATGAGGAAGCCAGAAGGGAAATGGCTCGGATCCTGAAGGAGCTGAAACAAAAGCACCCAGACAAGGAAATCGAACAGCTTATTGAGTTGGCCAACTACCAGGTCCTGAGCCAGCAACAGAAGAGCAGGGCATTTTACCGCATCCAGGCCACTCGGCTCATGACCGGAGCTGGCAACATCTTGAAGAGACATGCTGCAGACCAAGCCCGCAAAGCCGTCAGCATGCACGAGGTCAACAGTGAGGTGACGGAAAATGATCCCATCAGCAAGCTCTATTTTGAGCAGGGTACCTACCAGTGTTTGGAGAACTGTGGCACTGTGGCCCTGACCATCATTCGCCGGGGAGGTGACTTGACTAACACAGTGTACGTTGACTTCCGGACAGAGGACGGGACGGCTAATGCCGGCTCTGACTACGAGTTCACTGAAGGGACAGTGGTCTTCAAGCCTGGAGAGACCCAGAAGGAAATCCGTGTTGGCATAATCGATGATGACATATTTGAGGAGGATGAGAACTTCCTGGTACATCTCAGCAACGTCCGTGTGAGCACTGAGCCCTCGGACGAGGGCGTTCTTGAGCCCAGTCGTGTCTCAACACTTGCCTGCTTGGGATCACCATCTACTGCCACTGTCACCATTTTTGACGATGACCACGCTGGTATCTTCACCTTTGAGGAGCCAGTAACTCACATCAGTGAAAGTGTAGGAACCATGGAAGTGAAAGTGTTGCGAACCTCTGGTGCACGAGGAAATGTTATTGTGCCCTACAAAACCATTGAAGGCTCAGCTAAAGGTGGAGGAGAGGACTTTGAAGACACCTGTGGGGAGTTGGAGTTCCAGAACGATGAGATAGTGTAAGTGAAGGTTTTACTTATTCCCTACAGTCTCTGTTTGTCCAGAAATAAAATGCACTTGGCTCCCAGAGCTGCACTAGAGGTGTTTGGGTGCCAGCATATTGCAGTAAACCATGAATGGCCATATGTGCTTTGGGGAACCTGAAATGCTGCGTTCCTGCCTTGCTAACAGGCCAGAGAGTGCCTGGTCATGGGCACTCCAGCATTCAGCACCAGGGAGGTGGAACTGATGTGGGAGCCCAACCTCCTGCACCGTACCCACATGCTGAGCAGAGCTCTATAGCCTCAGCTCTGCAGTGGAGCAGAGAACAAAACCAAGATACCTGTGGCCACCCAGTCACAAGGACCTGTCTTGTGAAGGGCTTAAACTGAACATATGAATTGTGGTACCTACTTCCTCTTTCCTGTTGAGGGTCATGTCATCCGGGACTGGGCCACAGTCTGTTCTACTGCTCAGGGCTTTGTTGAAGGTCACTTTACCTCCTCCTCTTCTAAAGGCTGTAGGCCTGGGTCATTGTCCAATACATGTCTTGAAAAAATGTTGTCATGTAGGGAAGTCACATGGTTAGGATGCAACTGCAACCACATTTGTCTGCTTGAAAGTGAAAAAGAGGCTGAAAGCTGTTGGAGGCTACTCCAAAGTGTTGCTCTGTGGATGGTGAAAAAATTAGTAGTGCTGTAGCCTTATTACATTATGTGGAGAATATAAACTAGCTCAATAAATCGTGGTAGAAAACGTCTATCCTTTGGTATGTCATGAAGACATTTCCTTGCCCAGCTGGTGTTCTGGGAGGAGCAGGCATTGGGAGTCCTGGTATTCCAGCCTGAGGCTGTTCCTACAGTAAAGTCTGTGTTTGCAGATCAATCCCTGCCAACAGGGTTTTATCTCTGTAGCACAAAACCACCACATAGAACTTAAAGCAGTCACTGATAAAGGGCACTGCTGTGTTGGAGAAGAGCTAACTGTTGGCTTGACTGTTATGTATTATAGCACTGGTCTCTTGGGAGCTGAGACGGACCCATGACGAGTGCCAAGAGCAGTCTTTGTGTTCTGTCTGTTACCTGTATCTGCTGTGTGTGCAGAGGGAGAATGAAACTTCTTCATAAAACTTCTTAAAGTAAGAGGGAGAAAAAAGGATTTATACCAGTTGGCATTTTGATTTCTCAGGAAAAACTGAGCAAGAAGTTCAGAGCTCCAGCAGTCTGGAGGCCAGAACATGCATGTTGCTCACACAAGGGTCAAGAGCACATACTTCTTGGTTCCTGAATGATAACTGTAGTAAGAGGAATGCAGTTATTTGATTATATTTTTTCCCATTTGAGGAGAAGCAGGGAGTTGTCTGCAGAGATGCAATGAACTAGGCTATAAGGATATCTCCCAAAGGCTCTTTAGTTTTTATCCAGGTCACTCAGCACTAGCAAAACTGGGTTACTAGTAGTTAGATTTTGACATTTGTTCTCAGTTCCCATGGGATGTGACATGTTTACATGGCAGGCCAAACACACAGGCTCTGCAACTGTGCTCAGAGGGGCTGGGACTCCCCCTTATCTTGTATCCACCACTCTGGTTAGGATCTCTATGCTGTCCTTCATCCAAGCCCCGTGTCCGTGCTATCTGTTGGTGCTCAGTCTGTGATGTGGGGTTGTGCAGTGAGATGGTGATGCCTTCTGCCTGGCACTACTGTGCCTACTGCCTCTGGTGGTGGCTTTCCCTCCACTACACTATCCACTGCTGACTTTTGCCAACAGGGCAGTAACCAAGGGGTGTGCTGGAAATGAGCTGACCACATCCTGCTGCATCTGCTGCCTGGCCTCCTGGGGTGTGCTGGTGTGCCCTCACCAGGGCAGCAAGCCTCCTCCTTCCTCTTTTTACTGGCTGTCAGAATGTGCACTGCAGGCACAAAACAGGGGAAAACAGCTTTCTTAGAAACTTCAGTGTGTTTTTTTCTGTGCAGATGCCATCATATCTCTATTGCCTTTGAACTATCTCTCCCTGTAATCACAGGGAGGGACGATACATAGGAAGCACCATTTTAGGAGTTCACAGTGTGGTACAGATGCTTGGGGAATGGTGCATAAGGAGATGGTGGCTACAGGGCCAGGTATTGACTAAAGGGCTTTCTGCATTCAGGTGGGAGAGGACATGCACAGAATGAAACTCATAGTACATATTCCAATCTGTATCTGAAAGGCAGTAGATACTAGTCTAAAACTTAGGTGCAGTCCATGTTCAGGTGTTGGATGGTACAATCTGACTTGCAGATGATTTCCTGCAGGCCCATGTTTTCTTGGGCACAAATTTAGGGCAGCCCTGCAGCACAGAGGCTGAGTGGTCCTGACACTGAGCTGCTGCTTACAGGCATCCTCCCTTGGAAGAATTTTCTCCAATGGTAATAAAGAAGATATGCTAGCACAATATGTGGTATAGAGCTACAGCCTGTTTACTCTGTCATTGCTTGATAGTGCCGTGCTTTAACTAAATCACAGTTACGTAGAATGGTGCAATTCCCTAGCACATTGGATTCAATAGAGTTCTAAAATTTCAGGTTTTCCTGTGCTCTGGTGACCAAGAGATGTCTTTGCTGCCCTTTCTAAAGGTCTTTAGTGCCTCTTCAGCTCTGCCATTCAGGTCTGTATCAATCAGCTCGGTAAAATTGAGTAAGATGTGTTTTTCTGGGGCACTAATAACAAAGGTAGGGCAGTACCGGGAGACACGAAGATAAAAGGAAAGCATTCACAAGCCTCTATTATTAGAAGGCTGGCTTGCTGGTAAGTCCCAGTAAAATTAGAAAGCGCTGGAAGGACCCTGATCTTCTGGAGACCTTCCTCTGGTTCCAAAAAAGCCTAATTACGTAATTTGTTGTTTGTTTGCAGTGTCCAGAGAGACTTTCCCATTTGGCAGTCTGTTGATGTCCCCCTTCCCAGAGTACACAAAATAGCTGTTTAACTGCTGAAGCCATGCTACTTCATTTGTTTAAACAAACATCTCATTCTGAGGCTACTAGAAAAGATATGTAGTGGAGAAGATGCTGGTTCTCCTGTGGAACATTTTATCCCAACTATGCCTCTTGGAGTGATGCTTTTCTGCTCCTTGTTCCTGAAACACAGCTTGTTGTTCAGTGGATGCATATTACCAAGTGAAAGAAACAGCATTTAAATGCATTTTGCAAAGGGGTTACCTGTGTTTTCATGACAAATTGTTCCAAGCTGTGTGGGAAAGCTTAAGATGTTTGACTGGGGTTCAGCAAGGTCAGTCTCTGTGGTGCTGCACTGGTCCCTGGGGCTCTGAGACATTGTTGTAGGACAAGGTACTATGATTTAAAGTGTAAGAGAGAGCCTTCCCTCTGGGACCATCCTCAACAAGGTGATTCCAGCCTTGTCTTGCGTCTCCATTAACAACTAAAGCTTTCTTGATGAGAACATGGAGATGTGTAGTTGTAGGCTCTTCCTGTCCACTCGCCTACTACAGCTATTGTGATCATAGAAGAGGTCCCAGGTTCATCTAGCCAGGCTATTTTTATCTCCTGAGTGAATGGTAAATAATTCAAAAGAAGTCCAGTTTCCTATATTAGAGAAGGAAGCACTCCTCTCAGCTGATATCCCATCAGTTCTTCTCCTTTCTATCTTGGAGCATCAGGAGGGGTACCTCTTCCAGAGGTGACTGCAAAGCTATGTGGAAACAGTGTGTTCTTTCGTATTCAAAAAATTGTAATTTATTTTAGAGGTAACATTCAGAGATAACTAGAGATCTATTACAGTCTGTGTTCCAGATGTCTGCCCACACCACCCTAAAAGAAAAGCTTTTACTGCATTAATGTCAGTGAGGAAGATGGCACATACAGTTACATGGACAACCAATCAAACTTGTATTTCACCAATGCATTCACACCTATAAATGCTTGGAAAATCTTATGTCAAATTATCTCACGGTTCGTAGTATACAGTTTAGCTGTTTTTATAAGAGATGTCTGCTGCAGGTTTAGGAAGTGACAGAGATGCCCACTGAATCTGACTTGCCCAAGTCAGCTTTGGTATTTCTCTGGAAGCATAAATCTAGGAGTTGAATGCTAAGAGAGACAAAAACACCAGCTAAATCCTCTGATTTTTATAGGGAAAGTGTTCCCAGAAATCACATAGTTCCCAAGAGCCCTTTAAAAACATCAATGTCAGTAAATATAGATTGTGGCAGGAGGGGAACCAAGTGGTACTGCTTTTTTAAGTACCCCTTTTCTTTTCCAAAAGAAGTTGGGTGAGGTATTTCTAAAGAAACAGCAAAAGCAATATCCTGACTCAGCCCTGGGACCCCTCTATGTCAGTTTTGCACCTACAGCCTGCAGCTTCAGAGAAAAAAAATAAAGCCTTCAGCATGGGCAGCCTTGCAGTAGGATGCAGTTGAAGAGCAGGGTGTCTTCTGCTGTGGCAGAGACACAGCTGTAAACCAGGCTGAAGGGGAAGCAAACAAACATTCCCCTTTGAAGGTTTCATTGTTGGGCACATTCTCCTGCTCTCTGTGGTCCCACTTTGTTTGGCTGGACCAATGTGCATCCCCTCATTGAACAGCCCCAACTTGCATAGGGTTAATATCTGGCAGCACAGTGTGAGATATCAAAAGAGACCAAACAAAGATTAAACTCTTACTTGGCCTACTTCCAGAGCCCAGCTTGGGGTTTAGAGAGTGTTTTCCCCTCACCACTGGAAGTCTTGCCTGTCCCAGTGGGATTTGCAGGCAGTACAAATATGGCCACCTGGATCTAGAGCTTGAATCTTTGGCAGGAGCACCCAGTGCTCCTGGTCCACCCAGTAGAAGTCCAGCTTATGGAAGGTGGCCCTGGCTGTGGCCCACAGCAGGGGTCTGATTAGGTGTGTTGCTCCACGCTGGGGCATGGCATGGGGGCCTGTTTCTCTTTCCGGGGGAGTTTTGAGGAGGAAAATTCACTGGGTCTGAAATAAATCGTTGCTTTGGTGCCTGAAGGCCAAAAGTTGGTTGTTCCTTCTTAAGA